TTGTAAAAATAGACTCAAAACAATTATGCCTTGTTAAAGTACATGTAATTTGAATTATAAAATCCAACTTTGATTGCAATCAGCTCAAGCTAGATATGCAACATCAGAACATGTATATGTATGAGGAGAAAAATTAAAAATGAAGAATTTTCTTTTTTTATGCTCCATCTACATATGTACATATGAGCATGTAATGTGAAGTGGCTACTGTGGTACATTGAGAGCATTTTTCTGTGTCTGTATAAAGTGTATTGATTCAGTATTCAGTACACTATGACAACTCTTGATTTTTTTCAGGCTTAAGCCTCAATTACAATTACAATTGTAATTGATCCCAGGATCAGTGTATATTGTACAACACATTAGAGAATATTTTTATATTAATCTTTCTATTATGTTTTTACTGTTATACAGTAAATAATTATAGGCCACAATTTAATCACATATACTAACAAGCTTGTAAAAATAAAATTTATGGAAAAAGGATTGTTGCAAATTTCAAAGCTTTAGATTTCAGGCTAAGTAACAGCTAACATTATGAGATATTTAACAAATTATTTACCAGCTCCTCTAGTATGAGGAGTAGCTCCTCCAGTAACTAGATGTTCGTCAGCTATTTCATCAGCTAATGCTGGGTCATCTGCTCCTTCTTTGACAGCTACACACACCTTCCTCCAGCAAGGAACACCATGACGTTCATAATCATAATCTTTCTTTAACCAACTTTCTAGAACCTCTTGAAGACAATTAAGAACTTTTCCATTGTGTTTAGCTTCTATGGTATTGATAGTGTTTATTCTGAGACGAAACAAAATGGCAATTTGCTTCCAATGAGCAGAAAGTGGCTTGATTTTATCATAAACATCATAAAAGTCATCAATACCTATAAAAGGAACCTATTACATTATATTATTAGAATATAGATGCTTTACCTAGTTCTCTGTCACAAACATTCGTGAAAGCTAAAGCTTCTGGTGTTCCTCTTGTTGCCATTGTTATTGTGCTACTTTCAGTTACAGGAGATTGCACTATCTTTGCAAGAAGAAATCTGCTTTATCTTCCTTATGAGGGAGTAATAGCTACTTAGTTGTTATGTTCAATAATAAATCACCCACTTAACAACTAAACAAGGCTTATGCAATCCGCTCCAAACAAACAGTCATCATGTGATCATTGAAATAATAGTATTCATAAATATTTATTGTCAAAGAGTGTAGATTGTATTCTACTGGTGTGTACATTTAGATAGAATTATTTGGGTTGGTCAGAACTCACTCAGAAGTATGAGTGTACTATGATAAATGACATTTATGTCTTTGCCATTATCTGAAAGTATAAAGTGAACACAGAATGAATTTTAGCATTCAAATACATTTACTTAGTACTAGTGATCACTAATGCATTGTGACAAATAGTATTTTTATGTTAATAGGTACATTATTGATGTTTATTGTATTGAGAGATGGTACTGGCCTTCTTCATTCATTGTTCTACATAATTCAGCATGGAAGGGACATCATGTCATAGTAGAGATGCTGCTTGATAAAGGAGCAAATAAAATGATACATAACAATGAGAACCAGTACCCATACGACTTGGAATCAAAGCATCCTGAAGTTGGATGTCTTTTAAAGACTGCATCTGGCTAGTTCAATAATACTTTGTTTATTGGAAAATATGTTATAGCAAGAGAAGAGTATTAGTGCAAAATATCCCTAAAATTGTTTTCACTACCTTACATGCATAGCTGGCATTCATGTATTTTTCTCAAGCTAAGACTTAGAAAGGTCCTCTTTAAACTGTAGTAGTTGATTTTGGAAGTACATGACTACATGTATCTCATTGATTTGCATATTTTCAGTTGAAACATTTGCTATAGCATACAATTGATTTGTTCAACTGCAGTTAGTTATCAGACTTACATGCACATGTATTCTATATGTACATTATTAAATGTAATAATATTTAAGTATATAAATTGTTATTTTTATAGGCACCAAAGAGAATGAGTATGGTTACAAAAATGATTCTGATATTTTTTGCCTTTTATTTGTTTGTAGTTTCTATTATAATCCTTAGTGTCCATTGCAAGTGAAATATCTTATTTGCTTGATTATTATATCATGCTAGAATGTCTTAATCAGCTATCAATAAAGCATAATCATAGGGTTAGGCCAAGTGCACTTGACATACAGCTATGAACATACATTGTCTTGTGACATGTTGCACAAAAATTTTGCTGAATCTACTCAGATTTATTAAAATTCAGAAGCTAGTTCTTAACTTCTGGTATAATCTCTGTTGCATAAATCTATGATTGCAAGTAAATCTAGTGTTGACTAAAAATTTTAAGTTGCTTTGAAGAATAGTTCAGTGGGAGTGTCTGATAGAATCAACAGAAGATGAATATGATACTTGCTCATTTTGTGGTAACCTTGTCTGTAGGTAAGAACTAAATCTTTCATTGCAATTATTTTCATCATTAATAGGTTTTGCTGTGGCTCAATGTCCTCCTGATTTTGTCTCTGTTTTTATTTTAAATGATAGAACCATCCATGTTCCATTGACAGAGCCATTATGCCTTCAATGCAGGTTCTTTACTAATCAAGGAAACTTTTTTACCTTTTCTGATGGTGCATGGAGGAAGGGCAATACTGTACTGAATGATGGGGACTTTAATGGAAATGTTAATTTATCAAGTACTTCTAATACTATGTATATGACCCTGGAGTATCCTGATGATGTTGTCAATGTTGGTGATACTATAACATGCTCATCATCAACTGCTGCTCAACAAAGCATCATCACTTTTGGCGATATCAGTGAGCTAAGCAAGCATATTTTGTCTATAATTATGTTTTAATTATATTTAACAATAGTCTTTCTGAACCCAACAGTATCTCCTAATGGCACTGTTAATATCACTGAAGGATCTAATTTAACATTAACATGTTCTGATCCTGGTAATACTGGTATGCCACGTTATGTATGGATTAATGATAGTGATGGTAGTGAGCTAACACCTATTATGAATAATTCTCCTTTAAACTTAAATATAATAAATATTGACAGAGCAGCTAGTGGTAATTACTCTTGTAGAACAACACACATTGATTTACCAGGTATTAGCAGAGAGTCTACAGTCACTGTTAATGTACAGCCATTAAGTGAGTTATTGTATCTAAATATTTAACCAGTTATTGTTTATTCTTGTCAGGCCTTCCTGTAGTTTACATTTATAATTATCAAACAACAGGATCTGTTATTATCAATTGTACATATGAAACTTATGATAGCTCCATTGATGTGAAGTGGGAGCACAATGACTCATTACTTGATCCTAATAGTGATCCTTATATCACAGTTATCACACAATCCTCTTACTCTGAGCTCAGAATCTCTTCCCTCACCCAACAGTATGTAGGAGCATACCAGTGTATAGTCACTAATGGAGCTGGGTCTGTTAAGAGTGGAAAACTAAATGTCACTATTGAA